TATAATTATGTCATATTTTTAATAGAAAAAATATTCCGAGTTTCTGGCGGAAGTTGGTCTAGTAAATTAACTCTATTTATTTTTTATATAGTTAGAAGATATTTCAATCAGAAAAATTCTTTAGAACAACGTAATGCTGATGATCTCTGCTCCAGACTAGCATTGATTGGGTGAGATTTTAACAATTGTGCCTGGTCTTCCAGACCCCCCTTCTAAATTTCTTTATAGGATAATGTGACAATGATTTATTTACGTGGTCCTCCAAGGAACCATTCATTCGTTCATTTAATGAAGATATTAACTCATTACATATTTTTCTAAACTTTGCAGATTTAAAATCCGCCCTTACCTGATTCCCCTGTAGTACCTTCTTTTTAGGATAATAGCACTCAACTGTTTCAGAATCTTCAAATAAACTTGACTCGGATGAACTAGACTCGAATGAACTATTTATGGATTCTTTGCTACAATTGCAATACTTCATAGCAAGTAATTTGCCTACGTCATCCTTTAACCAGTCTATACGTTTTTCTATATATTTTTCTAGTTGATTAACTTCCTTTTTAAGGTTTTTATGCCAGGAATAATAATCTTCTATTTTTTTCTCGAGTGCTCTAATTTCTCCAGAAAGTGCTCTATATGCTCCTGCATTCTGCTTATCTAGCCCAAATAACCAGATTATTTTCTTAATACGTCTACTAACACCCTGCTTGCTGGGTGCACTATCAGATGAGTGCTTTTGATCGGTTGCCATTTTCGTGATATTTTATATATATAATATCTTGGGCGAACAAAAAAATAAATTTAATAAACAACATCTAACCCACCTTCCAAGAAAATTTATTATTAGTTTTCATTGAAGATGTAGAATGGACTTGCCTGATTATAAGGTTCTCCTCTTTTTTGCATATTGACTATAGTATATCTCTTGGATGGAGAAGCATGGTTATCAGGCGAATGTCGAAGAGCTTCACTGGCATAAGTGTTAGCCTTTGATGCATTTTTAGGCCCATGTACTACAGAAGCAAATACTGCCCCTAACTTGCGTAAAGAGCTAGGAAGTAGTGGTTTACCACTTTTAAGAATAAATTCGTCTTTTTTCAGAAATGTATTTAAGTACGTAGATCCAAGTTTTCCTGGATCCCTTAACTCCCCGGAAATGATTGCTTCCTGAATCCATGAAAGTAATTCTCTTGCCCGCTCCTTGTTCTTTTCCAGTGATTTAAACACTCGAGGAATATCTTGTTGACCTCGGTTTTTTGCATATCCAGTTACAGCCCCATTAGATATACGCAAGTTTTTAATTTCAGCAGGACGAATGCAGAGCATTATCATTACATCGGCTAGGGCTAGTTTATCGGGTATATTAAATACATCATATAAATTCAGTCTCTCCTTAACTAATTCTAATGAGAAGTGGTCTGGAAAATTGATCCCTTCATTTTCACATTGCTCACTACGCTCCTTTTGGACTTTATTAAATAATCTGGTTACCTCTGGATTTAATGTAGCAGAAACTATTTTTTCTGAAGCATTGATGGCTCGCAATTCTCTTCAAAGCCTAAAGAGATAGGATAAGGCAACAACGGGATCAGGGGCAGTTTTGACTAAGTTTCTAGATATCACTTTTATATCTTTTTCACTAAGTTTATCTTTCATAATACGCTGAGCCATTTCTTTAATAGTCTCCCTGGAACAAGTACTATCAGATACTTGACATATATTCACTTCCTCGGCTTCTGCCCCACCTTCTTTGAGGAGCACTTGACTTTTGCATCGCCCAACTCTCTGGAGCGGAATCAATGCAAACGCCCGCTCTTTGCTAAAGTTATACCTTTTTATAAGACAATTACGGGCTTGGCGCCTTTTCTCTTTATCATCTGTTAAGAGGTCAAATATTTCTGGTGCGTATTGGCTAAGCTCTTCGAGACTCATCTCAGTAGTGAGTTTGTAATCTGTAACGAACTTGGTTGTAATAGCGGCATGATAAGGTATGTAGAATATAAGCGAAAGCTAGATTAATCTATGTTTTCAGATTATATATTGTAGGAAAAAGTTTAATTCGAAAAAAAATATTCCACCTGGCCGAGCTAGAGGGGTGGTGATCATTATATGACCCCAGTTCTTCGAACCAGAAGCGCATTTCTTTGATTATATCTTGAGAGATAGGACTGCTGATACATCGTATTTTTGAATATCTATAATAAAAGTGAAGATGAAGTTTTGAGATTATTAATATTAAAATTATCTCATATGGATCGTCTATCCTGCCAATATATCAAGAAAGATGGTTCGATTTGTGGGAAAGGGTGCTGGCATGCTTCAGGATGTGTTATACACTATAAAACACGTTCTAAAAAATTATGTCTTATCTGCAATAAGTTAACCAATTCTTATACCGGGATCTGTAGTACACATAATAGAATTTATAAGAATGCCTGGCGTGAAGGCAAAAAAAATACAACGAACTCTGATATGGTCAAAACACTTGGCTGAATAATGAGTGCTCTGAGCTGAAGTATTATTATTTTTCCTGTCCTATAGAATCAAAAAGTTCCTGAATATCATTATCTGTTTTTGGCCTATATGGTGGAAGTTCTGGTGCACCATTATCTCCAAAACCAAGACCATCATATGGCTGGCGATTAATTCAATATGAACGTTCCCAAACTTGTTTTTCTTTAGGTTCTATTTTTTTCCTATTTATCTTTACAGTATAGCCACACCAATTTCCAACAATTGCATTAATTGCCCTTATAGCTAAGTTAAGATCTGATATTACCTTAGCACGAGACTCGAAGCCGAAGAGTAATAGGGATTGATCCAGAAGCTCTATAAACCTTTCACAGGATCATGTGAATGCTTCTGATACAATATTGCTAGAAAGGATACGCTTATTATCAATGCCAGTAAAGCCTAGTATTTGAAAGAGTTCTCTTATAACTTTCCAATGATTAGCTGAATAGTTTTTACGCAAGTCCTCCGCTACTGATTTTTTAAAATTATCTTTAGATTTATAACAGGTATCCTCCCACTGTGCTATGTCCTTAGCTTCCAATTCTTCCATTGCACTTTTTTCATCGCATCCTTGCCTTCGAAAATAAGACAACCGTAAGAAATGCTTTCGAGGTTCAGGTGGACTAAAACGTTCTACAAACTTTTTATTACAAAGATTATTCCAATCTTTAATACTCATGTTATTACCGCTATAAGTATTCCACATATAGAAACGTTTAAGAGCCATAGTATCTGCAACAGAATGTTCTTGATCAAGCTTAAGAATTTCAGCTTCTTCAGAACTAAGATTTCGAGAATTAGCGACTGCATTAAAATCTGTATTCTTAATCACTAATACTTCAGCTCTAATCTCATTGCGAACTTTTTTGCGATTCTCTATAACTCCTCGGCTTTCATCTATTTTTATAAGTTGGAGAGAAGCACCTGTACTAGCTATAAGACTGCATGATATCTCAATGAAATTTCTTACAGAAAGACGTTTTCGATGCTCAACTTCAAGGTATAATATTACGGCAGGTGATTGATTAAGTTAATATGATATAATATTTTTATCTCATTCACAATGCCCCTTATTGCTATAGGCAAATCATTAGGCTGAGCACTCTCGAGTTCAGCACGAATATTTTTATTACCTGGTGGGCGAAAAAGCTTATTGGAATTTTTTTGATAATAGAGGGATAGTATATGCTTTTTACAATCACGAATTCGAAACATCATTTGAATAAAGACCTCAATATTAACCGGGGTTACAATATTTGTAATGCCTATAACTGCATCAAAATGATCAGTCTTTTCAAAAGATATTTCCGCTTCTACTGTACTTGTATAAGCTATGCAATCAAGTTCACCCCAAGCTGTATTTATATCTGAAAAGTCATTTTTTTGTTGTTTTCCATCCATATCACCATAATAAGCACGGGCTCTGATAGAAGAATTATCAGGCCTTTGCAATTTAGAGGCTTTTTCTACTAATGCTCGTGCTATACTACAACTAGTTAGAACAAATGCCACACGCTTGCCCTGCTGTAAAAGCTCGCATCCTATTCGCATAGCTTCAGCTCCACTATTTAGATCATAAAGATACTCAACGGTTTTACCTACAAGTGGCTGAAATTTATTATCAATCACTCGAATATTTTCACTGCAATAAGCTTTGAGAAAAGTTAGAGTTGATTCATTTGCAAAGGCATCCATGGCCAAAATATGCCTCGCAGATCTTAAAACATCACGCATTGCATTTTCAGATTCTCGTGCATTTACACCACTACTCATTTGGCAAAGAATCGCATTGGTTTCATCCAAAATAGCTACTAATGGGCAAACTGAGAATTTGATACGATAAAGACTCTCAACTTGAACTATAATAATATCCCATTTATCTACAGATAAGTTTGGTTCATCTTGATAATTACAGATTCTGAGTCCTGATGATTTAAGATCATTAATTTTGCCTTGCGACTCATTACTAAGAGTTTTTCGATAAGAAATCCAGATAATGCAAGGTAATTTGACTTTACTTTTGGCTAAGAAGTTGATATGTTTTATTAAACCTTTTGTTTTTCCCGTCATCATAGGAGAGCGAATTAAAGTTATACTGGGCTCTTCACTCAAGAAATTGGGATAAACTTCTGGAAAATCTTCCATTTCCTTTACATTAGTAATTTTTCCAGATAGTTCAGGAAGTGGGAATGGATTTGATATGGCATTGTCCATTTTATCGACAATTTTTTGTTTAGGTTTTTCTTTCAGCTTGATTATATCTGATGCTCCCTTAAACGCCAATCCTCTATGATCAGGTTTGTATTGTTTCTGCCGAAAGCATCTGAGTACAAAGTACCCATCTCTTAAAAGAAAACTATATAACTGATCCCTTTCATGTTTGATATCACAAATAGGGCATACTTCCAATAACTTCGCTTGAAAGTTGACAAATCCCTTCCTAATACTACCAACCTCAAGCCATCCATATTTTGCTATAACTTGACTAGCTCCCTTGCTTAAGGCGATTTCATCTTCAATAGGCTACTCTTTTTCTGGTTTTTCAGGAGAAAAGGTTCGAGGCCAGATTTCAGAACAATCAGATTTAGGTTGAACTAAATAATCCTCTAGCTCTCGATACCCTTTCTTAATTGAAGAAATTGCAGGTCTTTTAATCCTGTCTTCCTTTGCCGATCCAAGAAGACGAAGACTGAAGCGTGATTTATAAAGTCCAATATCTATAAAATCTGAATATAGTTTTCCAACCCTATCAGCAACTTTTTCTACAAATCCTCTAAGATCTCTGTAGTCAACAAATCGTGCATAATTATACACAATATGCCAACTGCATTTATCGGCATTAGACGAACTGGCTAAGGTAAAAGCATTTAAAGTTATGAGATATTTTAAATCAATATATATAATATCGGCACAAGCAATTAAGATTCTGGATAATAAATCTTTATGAGAAATTTTATATCCATTTAAGGAAGAGAGTTTAGGATTCATGGGATCAGGCTTTTGCCTCGTGTCAATATCAAGAACCAGGTGAAGGGGCAAATTCCCATCAATGCACTCGTGAGCATCAGGTAACCCAATATCAAGAACCAGGCGAAGGAGCAAATTCCCATCAATGCACTCGTGAGCATCAGGTAACCCATAAACTTCGGATGGGTGATCAACTACTGTAAAACTCTTTCCAGATACTCGGATTATATATTTTGAATAAATCTCATTAGGGTGATAAGTATCTAAAAGGGCGACATTATCTTTATTATTAGATAAATATTTGAAATACACATGATCATTATAGCCAGGCTTATAGTCAAGGTCTGCTAACCCTGAGAAGAGCCTAGTTGCTTCGTTTATTTCACTGGGATCAGGCCCAGATTTTTTTTGTGCAGGTAGCATGATAGTATGCAGAAGAAACTAATATAAATTTATATAAAAATTCTCAAATTTTCAAAATAAAAATGTAATATATATGACTTGGAAATGAAATAAAAATGTGTAAAGCTTTATTTGGCCTCTAATCTGAATACTAGCATGAGTATGCAATAAATATACTAAATAATACTTCAAAGCAA